CTACAACATTCGAACTTATCAAGTCTTGTTGTTGTACATGTGCCAACTGCCAGACGAGCTACTTGCTATTGCTAATTAGTAACAGAGGCAAACGCATAATAACGAGGCTGCATCGCTATTTTATTTATCTATTGTACCATTTAACCTTTTTTGAATTAATTGGAAAAAAGATCGTGATTTTGAAAAAAGTTCATTGATTTCAAAAATTTCATCGATTTTGCAGAAAAGTTCATGAAATTTGAAAAATGTTCACAGATTTTTAGGAGAAAAAAAATCAAATATGAAAAACGTTCATCAAAATTGAGAAAGGTTCATCAATTTTGATAAAAAGTTCAGCGATTTTGAAAAACGTTCATCAAATTAAAAAAAACGTTAATCAATTTTACAAAAAAGTTCATCAAAGTCGAAAAAAGTTCACCAAATTTGAAAGAAAGTTCATCAAATTCAAAAAAAGTTCATCAGTTTTTAAAAAGATCTTCAAATTCGAAAAAAGTTCATCGACTCTGAAAAAAGGTCACAAATATAAAAAAGAGTTCATTGTTTTTTATATTTTTTCCAAAAATTGAGAAAAGTTCACGCATTTGCAAAAGAAAAAAAAGAAAAAAGAAACAGAAATAAAGATAAGAAATAAAAAGAAAACTGGTCGTTATTTGGCGAAAGAATAGGAGAAAAATGAGCTACCTGTCACATCGAATGGGTTGATTCAAGTGGTTGCAGCGTTGCTACCCTATGGTACAGGTTGCAGGTTCGAGTCCTTTGCTGCATACCCTTTTTTTTTCCAGTTTTTACAGAAAAAGAGAAGGGAAGGGGAAGAAACTGGGCCGGCCCAAAATCTCGCAGAGGGTGTGCGCTGCAGGCACCTGTTAGCAAAATGCCCTGTAACGGGCGTCTGCAGCGCCAAATAGGGTTTGCCATGGTGTTTGTTTGCCGTGACTCTGACCGAGCTTCCCTAAAAAAATAATCTGGACGATCGGGCAAATCGTGTGCGTTCGTACGACTTGATCCGATGGCTAAGAGCCCAAGTCGTTGTGAAGGCTTATAGGTAGCTGAGTCTTAATGTTTTGTAATTTATTGGGTTGAATTTGAACTTCGTTGGCCTTTTTGGATTAACTAATAGGATGTCCGATGTCTGAATTGTTAAGTTTTTATGCTATCTCCTATGATCTACGTAGTGTGCATGGGTTTGTATGAACGCAATATTAACCCTGGCCGTTGCATTGGACTGGGCAGCCTGAGCGAGCTCCCTGAACGAATAAGTGACATGAATTCGGCACAAGACGAAGGAGGATCAATCCCCTGCCGGATTCCTACGCCACATTCATCTAACACCCTAAGTAATGTAGCATCAGAGAAAAAACTTAACAATGCAAATTTGGGAGAGAGATTAAATTGCTCTCCTTCATCCTGCCTCCAAATTTGGAAAGGGGGAAGTTTTGCAAATTTATTTCTCGTGCCATCAAATAAAACCGTAAAAACCTAAGAATAAGAGTTAGTACTAATTCTTATCTTATACTAGATCTTTGTGCGCCCGTCTATTTTGTCTCTTAGTTGTTAGCAATATAAAGCAACTTGTATACATTTGTCATGAAACATTTTGGCACTTATTTTGGGACGGAGGGAGTATACTCGATTTTCTCACACAGTTTTGCAATTTAAGTGATATGCTTCCATCCACATTCATGCGATAAAGGTTTATGAAATATATGTTCATCATATAGAATAAGAATCAAATCATATAACAATTGTTTTCATAGTTGCTTATCACGAAGCGTTTGTCCAAGAGTAATATTAACAATGTACCATTTTAGGCGAACTTAGAATTTTGTCTTAATTCCTTTGCTCATGGGAAGTTTAGATATTTCGCAAGAATAAATGGATCACTACGCCTATAGAAATGAAGATACATAATTCACCATATCAACATTGAATTGTCAAGTTATAGAAAGGTTTGCCAATACGTAGATAGCTATGCAGACCCTAATCTTTAAATAACACATGCTAGTACAATTTTATTTTTCAAAAACAAAATCAATGTGCCCAATTGCTCATAATGTAGATGCCACCACATAGCCAAAGTACAAAGTTACTACAAGAATGGAGAAAGCCCACGCATTGGTACTACTGGAGTGAAAAAATTAATCCTTTTCCATGCCCAACAACCCTTGTCTTCGATCAAGTAGAAATGTAGAATGAGCACCACAAATCAGGAAGCTATCTAATTTCGGCAGTTAAACAAATCCGTAAATTCACCAAACCAAATTCACATATAGCTCATGTTACGTTGGTCGGAGTCAGAGACTCGTATAACTCATGTGGGTCGGACTGCAGGCGTGGTGTCCATGCGAGCCATTCTTCGCCCGACCGTAGGCTCGGCCCCATGCGAGGCACGTCGTGTCCACCGGCAGGCAAGAGCTGCGCAGGTGCTCCTGTGCAGACGATGTGTTACCACTTTTTTTCGCGGTCAACGCATCACGTCTAGCCGATCTGGGCCAAATCGATGACAAACATCCAAATTAGTTATCGGAGCAGCGGCCCAGTACCATCCAGCGCTCTGTGGTATCCGCAACAAAGCCCAAGCGAGAGCACGAGGGGCATCCTACGGACAGGAACGCCAACAACAGCGCATCCGACGGTTAATATTGCTAATGGTCTAAGATGGCTGGAAAAGTGCTAAGTTATAATGTCTCTATATACAACACAAAACTTCCCCCTTCCAAATCAAAACCCTAACCTTCCCCCAATCCGCCCGGTCACTTGAATTTGAACTTCGTTGGCCTTTTTGGATTAACTAATAGGATGTACCATGTCTGAATTGTTAAGTTTTTATGCTATCTCCTATGATCTACGTAGAGAAGGGAAGGGAAGGGGAAGAAACTGGACTATCCCCCCCTTTTTTTTCTAGTTTTTACAGAAAAAGAGAAGGGAAGGGGAAGAAACGGGGCCGGCCCAAAATCTCGCAGAGGGTGTGCGCTGCAGGCACCTGTTAGCAAAATGCCCTGTAACGGGCGTCTGCAGCGCCAAATAGGGTTTGCCATGGTGTTTGTTTGCCGTGACTCTGATCGAGCTTCCCTAAAAAAATAATCTGGACGATCGGGCAAATCGTGTGCGTTCGTACGACTTGATCCGATGGCTAAGAGCCCAAGTCGTTGTGAAGGCTTATAGGTAGCTGAGTCTTAATGTTTTGTAATTTATTGGGTTGAATTTGAACTTCGTTGGCCTTTTTGGATTAACTAATAGGATGTCCGATGTCTGAATTGTTAAGTTTTTATGCTATCTCCTATGATCTACGTAGTGTGCATGAGTTTGTATGAACGCAATATTAACCCTGGCCGCTGCATTGGACTGGGCAGCCTGAGCGAGCTCCCTGAACGAATAAGTGACATGAATTCGGCACAAGACGAAGGAGGATCAATCCCCTGCCGGATTCCTACGCCACATTCATCTAACACCCTAAGTAATGTAGCATCAGAGAAAAAACTTAACAATGCAAATTTGGGAGAGAGATTAAATTGCTCTCCTTCATCCTGCCTCCAAATTTGGAAAGGGGGAAGTTTTGCAAATTTATTTCTCGTGCCATCAAATAAAACCGTAAAAACCTAAGAATAAGAGTTAGTACTAATCCTTATCTTATACTAGATCTTTGTGCGCCCGTCTATTTTGTCTCTTAGTTGTTAGCAATATAAAGCAACTTGTATACATTTGTCATGAAACATTTTGGCACTTATTTTGGGACGGAGGGAGTATACTGGATTTTCTCACACAGTTTTGCAATTTAAGTGATATGCTTCCATCCACATTCATGCGATAAAGGTTTATGAAATATATGTTCATCATATAGAATAAGAATCAAATCATATAACAATTGTTTTCATAGTTGCTTATCACGAAGCGTTTGTCCAAGAGTAATATTAACAATGTACCATTTTAGGCGAACTTAGAATTTTGTCTTAATTCCTTTGCTCATGGGAAGTTTAGATATTTCGCAAGAATAAATGGATCACTACGCCTATAGAAATGAAGATACATAATTCACCATATCAACATTGAATTGTCAAGTTATAGAAAGGTTTGCCAATACGTAGATAGCTATGCAGACCCTAATCTTTAAATAACACATGCTAGTACAATTTTATTTTCCAAAAACAAAATCAATGTGCCCAATTGCTCATAATGTAGATGCCACCACATAGCCAAAGTACAAAGTTACTACAAGAATGATGAAAGCCCACGCATTGGTACTACTGGAGTGAAAAAATTAATCCTTTTCCATGCCCAACAACCCTTGTCTTCGATCAAGTAGAAATGTAGAATGAGCACCACAAATCAGGAAGCTATCTAATTTCGGCAGTTAAACAAATCCGTAAATTCACCAAACCAAATTCACATATAGCTCATGTTACGTTGGTCGGAGTCAGAGACTCGTATAACTCATGTGGGTCGGACTGCAGGCGTGGTGTCCATGCGAGCCATTCTTCGCCCGACCGTAGGCTCGGCCCCATGCGAGGCACGTCGTGTCCACCGGCAGGCAAGAGCTGCGCAGGTGCTCCTGTGCAGACGATGTGTTACCACTTTTTTTCGCGGTCAACGCATCACGTCTAGCCGATCTGGGCCAAATCGATGACAAACATCCAAATTAGTTATCGGAGCAGCGGCCCAGTACCATCCAGCGCTCTGTGGTATCCGCAACAAAGCCCAAGCGAGAGCACGAGGGGCATCCTACGGACAGGAACGCCAACAACAGCGCATCCGACGGTTAATATTGCTAATGGTCTAAGATGGCTGGAAAAGTGCTAAGTTATAATGTCTCTATATACAACACAAAACTTCCCCCTTCCAAATCAAAACCCTAACCTTCCCCCAATCCGCCCGGTCACTTTCTGAGGTCGCGCCGCCGCCGCCACTCCTCCACCCACACCCTCCCACCAATAGCATCGCCGAGGGCCTTCATCGAGAGCCCTGCCCGCCCTGCCCCGACCCCCCTCCTGCTCCCGACTCCCTCAATGGCAGCATCACAGGGTTCAATAGTGAGGGTGCCGTCGAGGCGCACACAAGAGACGACGGAGGCCACGGTCGCGTTCGAGATTGCCGGCTACAGCCTGCTCAAGGGCCTCGATAGAGGTGAATTCCTCTCTTCTCCGCCCTTCTCCATCAGCGGTTACGAATGGTGCATCCTCTACTACCCCAATGGTTCCGGGGATGAGAGGAGCCAAGGTTATGCCTCTGTCTTCCTCAAGCTCCTGACCAAGAATGCCTTGGTGAGGGCTTTCTACAGGTTGTGGCATCTAGATGCGGTTAGGGGGCATATGATTAAGCCGGTGTTCAGCAGCCAAGTGACAAATGTGTTCGGCCCTAAAAGCCCATCTTGGGGCTTTGAGAAGTTCATGAAGACCACCGAGATGACGTATGTGCGGAATGATTGTCTCGTTATGGAGTGGGAGGTCCGAATTATCAAGGAAACACTAGAGATCCAAGTGCCACCCTCTGAGCTTTCGGATAATCTTGCAACATTGCTAGAGGGGAAGAAAGGAGCAGATGTGACTTTCAAGGTTCAAGGGGAGATTTTTTTTGCTCATAAGATTTTGCTTGCGATGCGGTCAGCAGTCTTTGACGCCAACTTCTATGGGCCAATGGCTATGGGGGAGAAAGAGTCACATGACATAACTATCGATGACATGCAACCTTCTGTTTTCAAGGCATTTCTTCACTTCATCTACACGGATTCATTGCCTTCCATGGTTGATCTAGATGATAATGACAAAATAGAAATGGTTAAGCACTTACTTGTGGCTGCAGATAAGTATGCAATGGAAAGGATGAAGGTGATATGTGAAGGCCTGCTATGCAAGAGTCTTGATGTCGAGACTGTGGCGACAATATTAGCTCTAGCTGAGCAGTATCATTGCAGCAATCTCAAAGATGCTTGCATTGAATTTATGCTCTCTTCGAATAGAATGAATGATGTGCTCGCAAGCCAAGGGTATCTACATCTCAAAAGATCGTTTCCTGACATCATTGTTGATTTGTTTGAGAGGACAGTTAAGTCCCGCAAAATTTAGTATGTCAACCTGGTATGAGCTACTGCTTGTCCTTCAGTTCTAGAAGATCATTATCATGTTGGTTTGGAGAAGAAAATGAAGTCGTGCTAGATCTAGCATTCCCATCATGGGTTGGCTTCTACATAGTTACTTTTGATACATAGCGACCTAAGATGAGGCTGCCAAGTCTTTTAGTTTTCGGAGATCTTTTGGACAAAGTGGTTCGTTCTATAAATGTATGTCTCCAATGTATGGTTGGTCCATCTGATATAAATATATATGATTCTATGGTAGCTCATTAGTTACTATTTTATCTGCTTACCTTAATTGCTGGCTTTATGTGAAGAATGACAAAACTTTGAGTTCTTGGCGATCACATTTGAGATAATTCATTTTACCTGTATGAAAAACTTATATTTGAATGATAACTTCTATATTTCATTAGAGACAGTTACAGATTGTTTCTTGACATTGTTGTCAGACCAAGCAAAGATGGAATTAACAAATGAGATTTAATTTTTTGTACTAGTAAATTCTTATATGCAACTGGGCACTTTTCTGAATTTTCATCACAGAGGGTACTAGCATAGCCTGTGCGGCGGCACGCTATGCCTGTCGATACCATGTGTTCATATGAATTGTGTTTACTATTTGCAGTTAGTGTTATCTATCTTGTATAGCAGATTATTGTACGTAAAATTGTGGATACAGAAAAATAAGTAAGAAATAAGCTAATTTATTGGCACCATGCATGTTGCATGTTGCTAAACACGGAAATACATGTTCATACATATTTGATAGTGATCATTTATTCTTGTCGTGGCACGACTCTACTACAGTAAGAAGAAAGAAACATAGATAATTATTGCTAGATTTGATCATCCTAGTGTGGGCTCCTGCAGGATTAGTGCTAATGATGAAGTGATAAAGAACTTCTGCGAACTGTTGCCTCTGGCCCATAGGCGGCTTGGCACCTATGTAGGTAATGATAGGATCTTCACAATGTGGGCAGTATCACATCAAAGAAGTTATTGCATATTTGGTTAGAATTCTTATTTGCCTTGCAAATTTGTTCCGGTGGGTGGTTAGCGGGTCATGCTGAGCTGCCATTGCTTTGTTCATGCTTTCTCCCATGTTGTAAGCAGTTTCTCTTTTGGCACTTCAAGTGCATATTAGTTATGGTCGTTGATGGTGATATTGTGGTTACCACAAATGTACTCCAGGGCCACTTGAGGAGCCTTTCTTCAACTTCACCCTATTTCTAAGCCTACTCTGTTGTAAATGTCATTAGGACCAATGAGTGCTCGAGGTCAAGAACATCGACGCATGTACCGACACCGACGGCAAGAAGACCGACGGGATGGAGAGCAGCAGAGCCGTGAGCTATCCACAGTTGGCTGCAGACGTGCCGGCTTGGACCACGAGGAGGCCACTGCGCGCGGCCGCAGAAGGTCGAAACGGCGACCCGTCGCGCTCATGATATCCAGTGGAGGGTGCCACCGGAATGAGAGATGGGCAAGCGATGGAGATCAGGGAGGACGTACGGGTGTGCCCTCAATCATGACTGGAGAGACTCAAGCACGTATGTCAGTTATGATATTTTAAGGTAGAGGAAGGCACCTCCCCCCAGTGCGCGCATGCCCATTGCAACATTGAAAGGACACGTGTGACGTGGCTGGTGCTGACAGTAGGGAAGAGATAAGCGGCAAGGGAAGCAGGGGGAAATCTGGGTGTGAAACTGAGTTCATTCAAGGTTAGGTCAAAGAGGGTACACAACTAGGTATACAGCTTCATAAGGACTCATCTTATTGGGATCCAAGACGATCAATTACAGTTAAGTTGTACAATTTCTATATTTGGGTGATGGTACCGGAGTTCGTTCATTTTGCTTCTATCACGTATACTTAAAATTGTGTATTCATAAAACTTTAGCTTATATAGATGATGCATGGGTATTGTATTTAACATGTTAAATATAAACTAAATTGTTGATTTAGTAACTCTATTTTGGTCCAGCGATCTTCAACAAGGATAGACCGACTCTGATTTTTTTCCAGTTTCTTTAGGCAGTGCTTAAACCGGATTATGATAGGAGATCAATTGTTGAGGCTATACTGAACCACAAATTTATTATTGGGACAGTACTATAGGCTCTTATTTATGCTTTTTAAGTAAATATCATGTCTACCTCTTATTAGAAATTTAGAAAACCTTAGGTTCTTTGCAAGCTTTCTTACCAAAAGAAGGCTCTTCAGAAGCTACTACATGTATATGCTCAGATTATATGCATGTTCTCTTTAATTTTCAAGTGCTTATGAATCATCTGCGGAAGTAACCATGGAGGCATTGAACTAAATATGAATCCAAGCAGGAGTATCAGGAAGATAATATAGGTTTTGGTCTACCGAGAGGGTCATGCAATGCTTCATTGAAGTTCAAATTTACCTCCAAAACATTGTATGGACTCCTGCACGTACTCGCTATTTTATTTCTTCACCTTCTTGCAGTTTAATTACATGTAAGTTCTGTATTCTATTTAATAAGTTATTTGTGTTTTGGCTTGTTACAAATGATTTTAGATGACACATACATATTGGGCGTCATGGTGGGAATATGTACATGTAATATAGAGACAGCCCAGGAGAAGCCGGTTAACCTGCCCGAGCTCATTGCTGACAGGCTCGGGGTTATCTAGGGCATGGTCCACCTCCTGAAGGCCTTGATGGGCTCCACCGACCACCATTCAGGTACTATTCATCTCTTTAATCATGATCTAATCTCGTCTAATCTCGTCTCGTATTGTAATGAATTTCTTGCTTCTGCTTTGATGTTAAACATGTTTAATTGAATCTGAAGAATTTGATACTATATGTATGTTTATATATACCAAGGGCTCCGCCGACCTACGTTCAGGTACTATTCATCTCTTTAACCATGATCTAATCTCATGTCTTATATGAGCGAGATACCTCTTAAGCTATGGGAATACATTGATCGTGTTGTAATGAATTTCTTGCACTGTGCCTGATTAGGCAGCATCACATAAATAAAAACGAAGATAGCAGTACCAGTATTCTAGAGGGTCTGCGCTGTTGCATCTAACAAGTTAAAATATCAACATTAAGGATGATTCTCTTTTCATGGATAGTCTTTTAAGGAGTTTCTCGCTAATTATAAGATCTTGCTGTCATAGAAGCTTTGATCCAAATCATAACATTTGGCTACTCAAAGAGGGTGTGCGATCAGCTTTCCCAAGACCTATCTTGTCCATTAAAGAAACAATTCTGTCATGGTTGCAGCAATTTCGGAAAGTTCCACATGTCTGGGTTGGTTAGCAAACTGAATATCTGCGTATAAACATATTATGTCATGCTTGCTTCGGTCAATAGATACAATAAATTGCGGTAATATTTGTGTTAATGTTGTCATGATCAGAAATATGTCCTTCCTCCTGTCTTTTTTACTTTGATAAATATTAAACGTTTATTATCCTAGAGCTTGTAACGGTGTGGCTGGCGCACTAGCTAGCTAGGATTGGTGCTTCCCAGGAATGTGTAAGTCTATGTAGTTTGGAATATGAAATCACACACTTTGTGACTTGTTTAGTGGCTGCCAATTTGTGTAGCTCATCCCTTAAAGGAGCAATGTTATATCTCAGTAATATGGTGTTTATGCCATCTCTGGTGGGTAATCACGGGCTTAGAGAGATTGATTATATGAGAAAGATATGATTTTTGTGTGCAATCCTAGACTACGTAACTCAGTGAATCCTTAAAAAAAAAAGAGAACACCAACAATATGTATATGATTTTTGTGAGTATCTCCTTCCGCGCCCCCAACATGCCCCCATAGCAACTTTTTTCGCGCCAGCGCAAAAAAAAAACCAAGTCGCGCCCCCAAGACACCGAAATCCGC